AGAAAATAGGCAGTCCATCTCCGGGTATTTTCTTAACGAGCATCACTCCATTGTCGTATCGCATGTGCTCCATTTTGCTGCTATTCTTTTTACTTTTACTTTGTTGACTCCATAGTACCTGAAAATATATAGATGTATACATTATTAGCAATGCTGTGGTATAACGGATGTGAAATGAGGGAACATTTAAATTTAACACTATTTAGAGTATCTCAAAGCAACTTTCAAGTTTTGCCTAACAATTAATTCATTTTTCAATATGTTATCTTAACTTATTTCTAGAATAATTTAGTGTGGCGGTGAAGACATTTGAAAATATCTTTTCAATCTTGTTGAAGACTTTTTCTAAAAAATCTGGCATCCCTGCTTGCAGTACTGTACGATTCATCACAATTCGAGCTGATTGAAAAATGTTATGCCAGATGGATCACTGAAAAATGCTAACACTATTTATTTAACCACCATCTTTGACATTTTAGCCATACAGACTGTTTAAAGTGACTTAATCCTATTCTTAAAAACTGGTCTACTTATATTAAAATCAAAAACATCACACACATCATTAAACAGTCTGCAACATCTATCGAGAGGATTGTTATAACCGTAAGCAGTACGATGTCCGAGAGTCCACATGAAGTAATAGTTGCGGAGACGGCGAGCTGGAGTGCGGAAATTGATGTTCCCGAGCAAACAACTGCAGTCAATATGATTACTAATCATGTCAAATATGAACATCCTCTGGAGAAAGACTCGGCGATTTGTTAGTGTTTGCAGTCCAATAAGCGCACATCTATGCTCGTACGGAGGTAAGCTATCTGGATTTGTCCATGGCAGACGTCGTAATGCAAACTTTATAAACTGTTTCTGGAGTCTCTCGATGCGCAGTACATGAACAGCATGATATGGAGCCCAAATGTGTACGCCATAGTCAAGAACACTGCGGACCATAGAGCAGTACAGCGCTTTCAGGGCGTACACGTCGTCGAATTGTGCGGTATTGCGGTGCAAAAATCCTAGCATGGAGTTGGCCTTTGCAACTGTCGTGGATATGTGCTCGTTAAACCGTAGTTTGCTGTCCAAGATGAACCCAAGATCCTTAATGGCATTAACCCTTTCCAGCGGCGATTGATTCATATAGTAATCAAAAATGATCGGAGAGTGAGAGCGGGTAAGGGTAATCACTTTGCATTTGACAGCATTGGCTTGCATCCCATTCATCTGACACCAGGATGACAATCGCTCCATATCAGCTTGTAGTGCGCGCGCAACAATCCACGATCGATTTGATCACACGGTACAGCTTAAGATCATCCGCATATAGCAACTTACAGGAACTTAGCATATCACACACGTCGTTAATAAAACAGAACTAAAATGAGAGGTCCTAGGTGACCCCTTTGTGGAACCCCGATGATATGGTACCTTAACGAAAGCCTTCCAGGATGATAAGTATGATTTCAACCAACAAACGATCCACGGTGGAAGACCAAGGCGGTTTAGCTTCATAATGGCTAGGTCGTGAGGAACTTTGTCAAAAACCTTAGAGAATTCGATGTAAACGTAGTCCACTTGCTGACGCTTCTCGATGCTACCTATAAGAGTGTTCGTGTAAGTCATCAAGTTAGAGACTGTCGAGCGCTTTTTCATGAATCCATGCTGAAACTCTGAGATTATGGGTTGAACAGTTGGATACAACTTCTCATGCAGAAGACTTTCGAGAACTTTGGCCAAGCAGTTCAGGATCGAGATAGGTCGGTAATTTTCCACTTTGTGCATGTTACCGGACTTGAAGATTGGTGTAATTGAGGCGAGCTTCCAGGCATCCGGAAAAACGCCATCCTTAAGCGATCGATTGAAAATAGACATAACGGGTGTGGCCAAAGATGCTGCACAGTTCTTGACGAAAGACATAACCCCGTCATTTCTATCTGCTGAAAAAAAAACTTTTTATTCTGAAAGTATTTTGAATTGAAATGGGGTAGTTTTTTGGGTCAACAACAAGAATCGGTGTCTTCGGCAAAGTTTTAGAAACTATCATAAACAAGAAACTTTGCTTTGGTGTATATTTCTGCATCTCATTATAATATGCAACGTTTTTCGTGGAAAACCTCTTAATAAAAGTTTTCACTTTATAATATTTTTTATAAACTTCTACTGGTTTGAAATGCTCTACAAAGTTGTTCAAAACATCAATACACATACATTTGATGAAGCTGACTTTATTTAAACTATAAAATTGACTTCGATTTTGTCACGATAGTGGTGTACAATGATAGCAAATTGCTATCAAATGGCTAACATATCTTTTTCTAACAAAATCAAGAATAACTGCCTATTTCAGAATCTAGTGCGGTAGAAAATTCAGAAAATTTGTGTGTACTGGTGTTTTGAACATTTGTGGGCACTACTTTGAACCAGTAGAGGTTCAAAGAATATTTTAAAGGGTGTCCACGATGAAATTGCCACACACAAAATTGATTCGCAAAATTCGAGTTTTCATCCGATTGGCATCAAATTTTCAGGGATTGAGAAATAACTATTAAACTTCATTTTACCATTTTACTCGTATTTTATTTACAGTCCATACGCAAATGCCCGCACCTTGGCCTTAACCCCGGCCATAAGATTCTGCACAACCTGTGAATCAACCGTTTTTTGCATGTAAACCCATACTTTCTTCAGTTCCTCGACTGTCTTCACTACCTTAGGTCGTTTAAGAAGGTCCTGCTTCGTAATCTCCCAGTACTTCTCGATGGGGCGGAGCTCCGGAGTGTTGGGAGGGTTGAACATTTTCGGCACGAAATTGACCTTATTGTCCGCATACCACTTCAGCACGTCCTTGGAGTAGTGGCATGAGGCCAAATCCGGCCAGAAGATTGTTGGGACGTTGTGGGCCTTCAGGAGAGGAAGCAGCCGCTTCTGGAGGCACTCTTTTATGTACACCTGTCCGTTCATCGTGTCCTGGGTCACGAAAGGTGCACTCCGCTTCCCGCACGTGCAGATGGCTTGCCAAACCAGGAATTTCTTCGCAAATTTGGACATCTTCTGAGTACGGACATGCTCCGGAACGCTGAACTTATCCTTGGCCGTGAAAAACAGGTTGCCGGGGATCTGTTTGAAGTCGGCCTTCACATATGTTTCGTCGTCCATGATGCAGCATTCAACTTTCGTCAGCATGTTGAGGTACAACTTCCTGGCACGGGTTTTGGCGGACTTGTTCTGCTTCTCGTCGCGATTAGGGGCCTTTTGTACCTTGAACGTTCGAAGCCCAGCCTTAGTTTTGGCCTTCTGGACAAAACTTCGGCTTAGGTGCAGCTTCTTAGCCACATCCCTAACGGAGGCGTTCGGATTTCGGTTGAAGGCCCCAACTACGCGGTTGTGATTTTTGGTGTTGTACGGAATACTTTTTCCTTCACTTCTGGGCTTCCGATCGGTGGTCAACCGTTCCTCGAACCGCTTAATCACTCGCGACACCGTGGAATTCGCGATTCCCAACGTTTTAGCGATGGAACGATGCGAGAGATCCTTGTTCTCGTGATGAATGCGCAAGATTTTATCACGCACGAGCTGTTCTTTCGACTCCATTTCCGCGAGTTTTGATCACAGGACTTTAAAACTTGCAGGATGTAAATAATGCACTATGAACTAAATCCACCCAAATTTTCATTAAATTCTACCCAGCGGTTAAAAAGTTAGAGCAATTTCATCGTGGACGCCCTTTATAAGGAAAAAACACCTTTAAGGGGATTTCCATAAAAAAAAAACATACCATATCATGTAGTATTTTGGAGAGTTAATCCATCTACTAATCGCCTCCAATTCCACCCAAACGAAAAAATTTGAGCAATTATGAAGCGCAAGTTGAACAAAAATGACAAGGAGACTCGGGGTGCTGTAGAGTTGGTTAGAAGCGACCGCTGAGGTTGACCAAAAATGAAATAATATTCTATATAACGTAATAATACTCGTTTTTCTTACGTCAAGCCAATCCCGAGATAGAGCTGATTTCTTGCGTCCAGATTCTAAGTGGACCATATTGTATGTACTACCTTTAAATTTCCTGAAACAAATGATGTAAGAAGGTCATACTTACATTTGATGTATTTGTGGTTTGTTTTGCGTAATCCCTAATCTTCCCTTAACCGACTACGTGGTTTATGGACATTCCCTAATTTCGAAAGCTCTGTATTTTGCTATCAAATGACATCCACGAATGTAGTAGAAAGTAGAAGTTATGCAACGGGGGACCATCCGTCACAGAGATTCATCAAACTACTGTATTTGTGCCGAAAACAATAAAACACAGGTTTTGTGGTTTTGCGCCCAATTAAATATCCTCCCAGGTTAATTGGCAAACCGACAAAAGTGATTTACGACTAGCTATAAACGTAATATCGTTTCAAAGAACCGTCAAATGGTAATTAGCAGCAACATAATACGTTAGAACAACCAGCTCCGTCTAGATGAGCGATCTTGTAGTGTTGTACTGCTTCCTAGTTTTCAAAAAAATATACTCGAATGCAATCGTAAAACATATGTCACTCATATCAATCCCCTGAAAACATGCTATATACAATTTCTGCTGACAGATGACCTTCACGCGTTGGCGCCCATCAACAAATAACGCGTCGCGATCATCAACGTACTGGTGGTGGTTCTGTACGCGGGATTCCGACACTCTTATCAATCCCCGACGTCGATGCGGACGAAGGTAGCTGCCAGTCTGTCTGATGTGGATCTTTTTTCCCTGCAGTACATGCTGGTGCGAACAGACAGAACTTACCAAGGACCAAGTTCTAATAATCGCAGACGCTGCGGCATCATAATAGGTCATATTTATTGCGCACGGCAAATATGAAAAAGCACGTGCTGCTCTGCCGTTACTGCCACAATCAGTGTTACAGACTATGGCGAGCTACTAGCACCCGTTAAATCGCAGTCGTATAAATTGATCATACCGGACAGGTGCAACGGGTTTATAGCACTTAGGACTTCGATCGGTCGCGTCGTGATCCCACGCCTCAGAACAAAGAATTGGACTTTCCGAGTAAGGCGCTTTTACTAAAATTTAAAGCCACCGCCAACACAGCAAATCGCAAAAAGAAGAAACGTTCTTAAAATTGATATTTTTTTTTTTTCGTAAACCCCGTGGGTTCGAACGCGTCATTATCAGTTTTTTGGCCCAATGACCAAAAAAACAAATGTGCGCACGGTTGTGACTAAATAAAGCTAACAAAAAACGCTCGACTGCGATTAGTCTGGTTCGGTCCGATCGACTGGGAAGATGGTTCTGCGAGTGATCCTGGTGAAGTTAGCCGCGATCTGGTTGCTGGTGGTGGCTCAGGATGCCAGCTATCGGTTGCCACGGGAGGTCGTTCCGCTGCATTACAATCTGGAGGTCCATACCCATTTGGGAGACGACGGCGAAAGTTTCCGGTTCTTCGGTGTTGTTAACATCACTGTGAGTATCAACCAGCGTGACAAAGTCGTTCTAAAGCTCTATAAAGGTGCTAATTAAAATCGGTGATATCAGTGACTTGCTTGAAATGGAATCGCACTAACCGGCCCGCCTCCAATCGATGGAGTCCCCTTTGCGAAAATTATCTCACAATTAAGCACATTGAAAAAAAAGAAGTTATTTACTTGATGAGAATTCAAAACAAACATTCATTTGTATTCGTTTTGCGACACGAGAGTTTTTTTTTAACGATGAATTCTGGAACGCAATCTACTATCTATATGAAGCGGTGTAGGAAAGTGGAACAGCTAATCAACTTTAACCGCGTTAATTCTGCGCGTAATTTGGACTCATTATGAATGAAGTAGTGGTATTAGCCTTTGCGTAATTCAACCATAATATTTACGGTTTAACGGTTTGATTAAATATAAACCCACTAAAATCCTGATCTGTCACGTCTGTGACGAAGCCTGATTCATCAGAACTGCTCGAGAGAGAGAGAGAAAATAGAAAAGATGAGAGCAGCATAGATTCCGAATCATAAGTTCAGCGCAAAATATTATACCACGTTCAAGTTTGGTGATGAGCATTTTGCGTGCTGGGTCGTTTGGTCGAAAATTGTGAAATTTAATTTGTCCAAACACATTTCCGTAAGTAGAGGCATTAGGATGAGAGGATCATAAGCCTTTTGAGTCCTACTTGGCAGAAGTAATGAACAGCAATAAAATAGGGGAAGTGGGGCAATGTGACCACCCGCTTAAAAATCAACATATTGAAGCCTACTTGAATTATTCATTTAATTTTAGTCTAAAAACATTATTTTCTCTAGTGCGAATATTCGAAAAGTGTTAGACTAGCAAATATCAAAAATGTTATCAGATTTCTGAATCAGAAAATAAGGTCTATCTTACTTACCTTATCAATCAGGCTAAGGCCTTGTTGTCCTCTGCTGTCCGAAGAAGTCGTCTCCACTCTACTCGATCCATGGCCACACGTCGCCAGCCTCGTACTCTGCAAAGCATCCGCAGGTCGCCTTGGTCGATCCACCTTGCCCGCTGCGCGCTTCTTCTTCTTGTTCCTGTTGGGTCGCTTTCGAGAACCATTTTCGACCATTCTTACGACGTGTAGTCGCCCAATTTTTGCAATCTGGACGATGGATGGTTCTCCCAGCAGCTGGTGCAATTCGTTGTTCATTCGCCTCCTCCACGTTCCGTCATCCATCTGCACTCCATCGTATATGGTACGCAACACCTTCCGTTCGAAAACACCAAGGGAGCGTTGGTCGAGGACCACTGGTCTAATCAGCGTCTTGTAGATAGTCAACTTCGTGCGCCGGCGAATTTTATTCGACCGGAGCGTCCTCCGGAGTCCAAAGTAGTCACAATTCGTCTTTGAATTTTTCTATCAGTATCATTTTCAGCGGTCATCAGTGAGTCCAAATTCACGAACTCGTCGACCACCTCGATTTCGTCACTGTCAATCTGAACTCGGGGTTGGGAGGCTAACATTGTCTTCCTTCCATGTATTTAATCTTCGATGCGTTGATGGCTAGTCCAATCCGCCTAGCTTCAACCTTCAGTTTCTGATGTACGTTTCCGCCATCGTCTCAAAGTTCCGTGCCATGATGTCGATGTCATCGTCGAAGCCAAGAAGCTGGATGAACATCCTGAAGATCGTGCCACTCGTGTCTATCCCAACTCTTACAACACCTTCTAACGCAATGTTGAATAGCAGACACGAAAGTCCATCACCTTGTCGTAACCCCCTTCGAGGTTTAAAGGGATTTGAGAGTGTCCCCAATATTCGAACAACACACATCACTCGATCCATCGTCACCTTGACCAATCGCGTCAGTTTATCCGGAAATCCACACTTCTGCCATAGCTGATCTCGATCGATTGTGTCGTATGCGGATTTGGTGGATAAGGTCTATCAGTAGTTTCTTAAAACTTATCGTTAATATTCCATCAGCAGCTATATAAAAGGTCGTTGGTTTCTTATATTGTGATTGTGATTGTGTAGTATAGAAGGGGGTCAAGGGCCAGGTCTCCGATACTTTTATGCACCGTACATGCTATACCAGTAGTAAGGGGGTGGCATCACAGCATCTTTACCAGCAGGTTAAATAAGTTCTGTGTAATCCACGAATGTGAAACAGGGCGAGCCATAGTAACATCACTGGTAGTGTAACGTATCGACAAGACCCCATCTCTACATTGATGTACTAACTGCCATAAGGGAAAAGAAAAGGGAGGGGGGTTTGTGCCGATTCATAGATAGCTGTAATTTAAGGTGGTTAATTCGAGTATAAGTAAAATAAAGGTAAAATTAGTAAGAAATTACCTGATTGTTTATGATGCCTGACTTTACCGGGATGTTGTTGTTGGCGCTCTTGATGACGCCGCCCTCTATAGCTTTGACGATGAAAATACCAGCATGGCGTTTATTTCCTCATCAAGGAATCCCTTGAATTCCTAAAGGTAAAGGTCATCGCTGCTGCTATCGTCTGATACTGTTCCATCGCTCGCTTCGTACACAGATTAAACCATTGTAGGTGGCGTTGTAGGTGGCATTTTGAAATTGTTTTCTGTTATTTGACAGCTCTTTCCAGAAATTGAAGGAATGGCCCGATCTCTAGATATCCTGTTTCACACTAGTTTTCCAGGTGTAATACGGCGACCAACTGTGATTTATGATCGTTGTCTTCTCCAAAACTTCATCGTCTTGATCTAAAGAAAAGAAAATCGCCACTCGATTAAGCCAATTTCAAAGGTAGTACCTGTGTGATGTCGCATTCCAAAAGTGTTGAACCAAATGAATAATAAAAAAAAATCTTTGACTATATGTTTTTAGTATTACTTCTACGTGAAGTCAACGATTTACATAGTTGAAGATGCTAATTTCAAATAACAGACTGTAGTGGTAAATTTTATACGATAGATGGAGTAGATGAAAGCATAGAGTTGATAGTTCCGTTAGAGTACGGCAGTGTGAAGATTGCATATAGATATTAGAATAGCGAGCTAGGACAACTTTTAAGGAACGTACAAATCGGTTTTTTCATCTCTCTTTACCAAACTCCCCCTTTGGAGAGGGAATTTCATAGATTTGCCTTATGAAAAATAATGTCAACAAAAAATAATAAAATGGAGCAGACTGGAACCGAACCATGGACGTTGAGATTACGGGTCCTATGTCTGGACCACTCGTCTATCGATGCTTAGGTAAATGGAATGACTAAAGGCGTATAAGAGCTACCTTATGTTAGACGAAAATCTTTCATAAGTCGCGCTTATGAAATTCATAAGTGTCGTTCATAAGTCGAGCCTTATGAAATTCTAATATTTCAAACATTTTCTACTTAAAGTATTCAATTTTGCATTATCCTATTATTAATATGACTGTTTCGTATTCACAAGCTTGAAAAAAAAAAACAATTACCTTAAATAAGCAGTACCTCTTAAATTTAATTTATTCTACATAAAATTATTCTAGATAGAGCTGGAATTAGGGCGTAACAGCTTTTGTATACAATGACTTCTCTCGATGATTTCTAGGAATTTAATGGATGCCCGATGGTGATTTTGATTTGCGTTGGCGAGCCTTGACATTTTAAAAATCATTGGAAGAAGTCATTGTTTACATATGCTGTTACGCCCTAATTCCAGCTCTATCTAGAATTGTTTACTTTAAATTGTTGTATGCTAAAACTGTTCATTGTTGACCCTTCATAAAGCCTCAAAAGAACAGATTATTCTAACCGGTTATTTACAAGGGCGTCGATAGGGTGCCCTTTTCATAAGATTCAAAAGTTTACTTTTAACATTCAATATGTATTCATGGTGTAAATAGGGTTTGAAACTATCCATTTCGCTAAAAACCAAACCATTGAAATTTTCCACTGAATTATGTATCATTAGTAAAGATTTTCTTAAGGTTGAAAATTCAAAAAAAAATAGAGGGAAGCAGGGTAAAATCGAACAAAACTTCATTCACAGAGCCCATTCGATTCTTCAGAGATTTTGACATAATATTAGCCTCATTTTATCGATCGTACATCCCTCCGTCCCATCCATAAATAATTCAATAAAAAAGGGGGAAGTAGGGTTAAATCAGCCTTATATTCCTACTAGGAGCTTTTTGCGGTGAATGAGACCACTTCCATTCGATTCTCAAAAAAAAAAATTCCTCAATGGTGCACTGGGTTGAAGCGCTACTCCTTGCGAGGAATGGTAAATTATAAAAACAGACACTGATTCTAACAGCACGGGAATTCTAAGGATAATGCCTTGAAAATTCAGATAAGAATTTCAAAAAAAATCTGAGGTAAACCCTACCTAGTGCGGGTCATTTTTGTCCTGTAAACAGTGTCTAATTTTTCCCTAATGCAATACGAAAGTTAAGGCTTAAGCGAATGTGGTGAAATCGGCCTTAAGGGAATTTTGAGGAGAATTTTTCTAGTGTCTGTTACAAAAGCTTTCAAGGTTCAAAAAAATGCATAGTTACTTAAAGTGCCGGATATCGAAAAACTCTTGAGATAGCGAAGTTAACCTTTCAAATTTGCCTGTTGTTGAATCGTGTTGGTTAGTTAGAAAACATCGTTCCGCAGTGCCATTGTTTTCGTGTCTCTACTTGTTGTTGGGATAATCACATTAATTTGCAAAATTGGATAGTTATCAAGCAGGTATTGAAATATGTATTCCACATGACATCAGCTGATTTCACTTAAGGCTTGTACTCGAAATAATGCACAATTTTTATCCGTGTGTAACTTGTTTATCCGTGGGTAAAAATTGATGAAAATCTGGGTGTAACTAGTTTGGAGTGAATTGTTTACATGTGCAAAATTTCATAACAATCGGTTCAGTGGTTATTGAGATGTCATCGAAACAAGAAGAAAATCGCCGGAGAATTTTGCACGCCGTCATGGAAAATCCGACTGCGACCATGAGATGGATCGGAAGACAACTGGGAATCACCCGTACAACTGTGTCTCGGGAGGT